CTTTTATACATTCTGTGTTCTTTTCTTCTCGTTTCGTCTCTTAAGGAGGACTGGTTTGCTCTCTGATTACCACTTTTATACATTCTGTGATCTTTTCTTCTCGTTTTGTCTCTTAAGGAGGACTGGTTTGCTTTCTGATTACCACTTTCATACATTCTGACATTTCTTCTTCTCGTTTTGTCTCTTGAGGAGGACTGGTTTGCTCTCTGATTGCCACTTTTATACATTCTGAGATCTCTTTTTCTCGTTTCGTCTCTTAAGGAGGACTGGTTTGCTCTCTAAATGCCACTTTTATACATTCTGACATCACTTTTTCTCGTTTCGTCTCTTGAGGAGGACAGGTTTGCTCTCTGATTGCCACTTTTATACATTCTGAGATCTCTTTTTCTCGTTTCTTTTCTTGAGGAGGAATGGTTTGCTTTCTGACTGCCACTTTTAGACACTTGCAAAGACTCACTTTCGTCTCAGGCAGATGAGGCTGATGCCGAGGGTGATGATGAGGGCCACGAGCGCCAGCAACCCCGCTGACAGGACGAGTGCCAGCGTCATTGCGCGAAGCGAGCTCATGCGAGTCACAGTTCCGCCGGCCAAAAAGGGTGGCGACAGAAGATGCGTTTGTGTCGGCGGCAACTGCAAGTCGACCGACGACTTGCCGGCTGTTGAGGAGGAGTTCGAGGACAGATTGACGACGCTTTCGGCCGCCGCCGTCTGGGAGGAGCCGAAGGAGTAATCTGGCGCTGTTGCCTCGGAGACCGTTGCCTCAGGAGACGAACGCGAATGGTTGCCTTCTCGAAGAGGTGAGTCATGGCTTGGACCAGCTGCGAGATTGGGGGTCGGATGAGGTTACGACGTGAGAGACGAGAGGTTAGTTGTGAAGATGAGAAGAGAAGGAAATCATATAAAGCCCTGATCCTATTGACTATTGGCCCTGCCGCCTGTGAGTTGCGTGGGGAAAAAGACGGACAACCGAATCCAACCAGCAACTCGGTCTCCTGCGAGAGCCAGGGTCTTAGCAACACCCCCAGCGGGAGTCGAACCGTGACAGTGCAGAATGGCAGGCTGACGCGTCAACCACTCGGCCACATCGCCACGAGTGTCCTGAGGTCAAGGGGCAGATGTTACTTTCAAGCAAAGCAAAGCCTTTTCCCATGTCACATTCTTTGGTGTGATTGTCGAAGGAGTAAACGGATTTTTGTTATAACAATCGAATATGTCACTTATTTTTCGTATGTAAGGGAGAGGTGTTGATAAGACCAATGCGAGGTCGAAAGTGCAGTCCGCTGCTGATTGGATGAGAACAACTTTTGGGGAAGCAAGCCTATGTGAAATTGAGTGGAAACGTTAGCTCAACTCATATGATTGTGGGAAAATTCTTCTTCTACCAGTCCTTCATCACCTTAAACGAAATTGGGTCACGTTAAACGAAAAGGAGTATATACAGCTCTTAAAACACAAATTTGCCTTATCAACAATCCTAAATTAATCGAGGGTATGAAGGCCAAGATGGTGTGGAAAATTAATAAAATAAAATAAAATGTGATATAATAGAGGCCGAAAATTATTTTGACTTTTCTTCTGTTCAATATCTACTCGCCATCGTGGCAGAGTTGCGCGAAGGTCACATGTCAACATTATAGGTTTTGCAATCACAAACAAGGGCTCATTTCTTGCCGGATGTGCAGATGAGATTCCAAGCTGAGATGGAGCCGCAGTTCATTCTGGAGGTGAATATCTTGCGAGAAGTAAGGTTATGTGATTTTGGAAAAAAACAACCTTCTCTACTTAAATCCCGATAAGTGAATTATGCCGATTAAGTTCTTATTTCAAAATCACGGAAAGTCTCAATAGCTACTCGTCACGAAAACGGGTAACGCTGACAATTGGTATGGCAAAGATATGTTCGTTGGTAGAAATCAAGACCATGATGGTATGACCTTTTGTTGGGTCATAGTATCCTTTAGATGCACGCCATTGGTTTGAACTCGTTACATGCAACTTGGTCGGATCGACCGGGTAACGTCTGGGAATGTACCAAGTCAAGGCTGCGATAATGTAAATCATCTTTTATACTCAACGGCAGAGAATGCAGGATCAGCTACGCTCCACACAGTGTCTCTGTCCCTCCGAGCAAGTTGTGAAAACGAGGCCAAGCCAACATGTTCACTCAATCGGCAATCCCACCATAAAATGTAGACTGTGAGAGGCCTTGCTGCCTTAATTGCCACGACCAACTGGCAGTCGTCGCAGGGTCGTCAATTGGACCGGAAGGATCGCCACGGTACTGGCGACCCAAGGGCATTCGGGGTAATATGCTAGAGTGGTCTACGTGTCGAGATTATACGCTGCACTGTTCAGATCAGAATACTTCTGTGAAAGTAAGGATATGTGAAATATAATGTGAAAGTAGGGTCTACTCATCTGATTGTGGGACAAACTTAAACGAAATGGAGCGAGCTCATCATCAAAATGTAATCTACTGATGGACCAGAAACGCTACTTATTAGCGACAAATAATATGCCTAACCTACTCACT